GCCCAAAAGTCAAAACAGACGATTTAAATTCGGACGGAGGGAGTATGTGCATTTGAGTTTTTTTCCACCATAACAGGCGATTTAAATGTTCTATTAAAATAAAAAATGACACACTTTGGTAAGATTGAATTTTCTAGTGAAAATTTTAAGTCAAAAAGCAACTTGTTCTATGTGAGATGATGAGACTTATTTTTGGGTGAGTGCCAAAAAGCATGCGCTTCTATGTCGCGTGATGATATGATTTTTTAAGCGAAAGTGATATTTAAAAAGCCAGTGATTCTATGTCACGGGATGAGGATGGATTTTTTTTGTTATCGTGTCAACATGAGAAAGTGATCTAATTCAAAAAAATTATTATACGGAGTAGTAACTTTTTTAAGAAATAATTTTCTAATTCAATCATTTATAGCTGGTCCGAGGCGTCCTTTTTTCTTCTAAATGTAATGTCATTAAAACAAAGCCTTGACTAAAGGTAAATTATTCGGTGGAATATATTCAAAGCTCTTACGGTGTTTCTGTACGCAAGAAGTCTAAAGTCACATTATAAACAGCAAAGCCCGTTAGGATAAAGATTTGTTTTGTTTTTTGACTAAATGTAGATCTCAAAAAAAACTAGAGTCCATGTACTGTTCGAATTCCCTTTTCTTTTATATACTCCGTAGTAAACAGAATATGAAGTATTATCCGAATTCACAACGTGACTGAGAGATGTTCCATTGCAGAATTCATCTCCAACAGCATGACATATGTACTTGTAATTTAAGGCAATATATCAACAGAGAGGAATAAACGAAGTAGAAAAATCTAAATGAGCAAACAGATACTGCTACAATACATCGATATGCAACCTCATTTAATTTACCAAAACAACTAAAACCGTCCCGGCTAACTGAATTACAACCAGACAGACCAACCAAACACCATTTTGTCAAGCAAAATGAAAATTTCATGGTTAATTAATGTGTTGCATTCAATTCTGTTGTGCACCGCCCCATAGATTTTTCACAGGAAACGGTTTTCGGGTGATGCAATTCAACTTGTCGTTTCGGTGCCGTCCTTGAACACGCAATTTAATTGAGCACAACCCAACAAACGAATGAAAGGAGGAGGTTAAAAAACGCTGGTAGCAGGCAATCTTTCCAGTGTTTCCAAGACATGCCTCATTGAAGGTCTCCTTTCTGGGTTGGTGTGAAGGCAGGACATGGCAATCTTTAGAACAGCAATCATTTCATCTTCTTTATCAACATCTTCGGCTAGATATTGGTCCAAAACGTCTGACAGAGGCTTCTTCTCTTCAATACAGATGTGAATCCAGTTAACAATATCCGTTTCAGAAGACCCAGTTTGCACTAATGATGATCTCCCAGTTAGCATTTCCAATAGGATTACTCCATAAGAGTACACGTCCCACTTTTGAGATGGCTTCATTACCCTGAATGCCTCGGGAGCTTGATAAGGAGATCCTAAAGATCCAGTTGAAATAACAGATGCCAATTCTGATGATCCACTGATGGGCTGTGGTTGCTGCTGTCTCCCGGAGGCCATTCGGTTGGATAGCAGTGTCGTGGAGCCTCCAGCTATATTTGCGATGCGCCCAAGTCCAAAGTCAGAGATCTTAGGTTCCATATCGTGTCCCAGCAAAATATTTGATGGTTTCAAATCACCATGGACATATTTTTTAGGGCTAAACTCGTGCAAATAAACCATTCCCTTAGCAGTTCCCTTCATTACTCCCAACCGCATGGACCATGAAAGAGGCTGAAAGGATGTGACTCCAGATTTTCCTGAATCGATAAACAGAAACAAGACAACCTGTCAGGAGAAACGCAACCTAAACACAATTATGGGCAAGTGGAAATTACCAAGGTATGAAGCAATAGTTGCGACTAACTTTACTACTGTAGGGTATGAGACTTACCATGAATTGCGGTGGAAAGGCTTCCATTTGGAACAAATTCGTATATCAGTAGCTTCTCATCTGCCGACCAATAATAGGCTCTAAGTGTAACAATATTTGGATGCCTTAGCTTTCCAACTGCTTCAACTTCTGTCTGAAACTCCTTAAATCTCTGCGAGCCACCTTCCCCGAGTCTTCTCACAGCCAAGTTCAGACCACCTTCCAGCACAACTTTATAGACGATTCCAATGCCACTCTTACCAAGCACAAATGCAGATGCCTTGAGAAGCTCATCTAGATCAAATCTCACTTCGTTGTCCAGCGGGACAAGATCACATTGTTCTACATGATCTGACAAGGTCTCTGATTCGTGCATCCCGAAGCAAAGCAATTCCTTTCTTTTCTTTCCAAAACTATGTCCGCTTTCATCATGTCTCCTCCCACAAGCACATACTCTTGAGTAGCAATATGAGAATAGCAGGCCAATAAGGCAAATCCCAACCACATCACTGACAATAATTGCAGCCACTGCTCCTTCTCTAAGGCCCCCACTCTTACCAAATGTGCCTTGTGGGGGATAACTTTTGGGCACGTGGGGGTAAGAGGAAGGGGCAATATGCACACCGTCTGAGGAACATGGGTTCTTCAATGGAGGGCCACAGAGCCCTGGATTTTCAAGGAATGCAGTTGGCCCTCTATTCATTAGAGCACCATTTTGAGGAATTGGACCACTCAAATTGTTGTAAGTGAGATCAATATAAACCTTCTCAGGAAGGTTGCCAAGGCTTGATGGGATCACCCCCCTAAATCTATTATGAGACAAATCAAGTGTTCCTTCCAGATTAGACAAATTTCCCAAGTCACAAGGAATCAACCCACTAAACAAGTTGTGTGAAAGGTTAAGGTTTTCCAGTGAAGCCAAGCTAGCCCCAAAACCATCAGGCAAAATCCCACTAAAATTGTTCGCACTCAAATCAAGGTTCTTCAGCCTTCTACAGTGAATCAGAGTTGCAGGCAAATAACCATCCATAAAATTATGAGAAACATGAAGAGTTTGAAGGTAATTAAGCCTCCCAACCTCGGAAGGCAATGGCCCAGACAAGGAATTTTCATAAAGAACCAAACCTTGCAATCGTAAAGCTCTGAAGAGACCGGATGGCAAGCTCCCAGAAAGCCTATTGCTCCTTAAATTCAGATGTCTGAGCTCCGAGAGTGAGCCGAGGGAGGGAGAGAGAATCCCAAATAGATTCTTCTTTGGAATGCTCAAAGAGACAACCCGTCCATTTTTGCAAGAAATACCGTTCCATGAACAAGGGTTTTCATCGGAATTGTTCCAGGTAATTAGTGTCCCTTCTGGGTCCTCTGAAATAGATTGCTTGAAGGACAAAAGTGCTTTCGCTTCTTCATTCAAAGAACCCACTAGAGCTAGAGAATTGCAGAAGATCAATATGAACAAGACAAAAGGTGACATCTTCCCAGATTTTGAAGAAAATATACTATGTGAAAAAAAAGGGAAGTTGGGCGTCAAATAGATTAATCCTTCTGTAATTGAATATGAAGTTTTTTTTCCTACAATACACGATATGAAGTTGAGCAGGGGAATTAAAATGTTTAGAGGTTAGAGAGGGAAACAAGCGAGAGTTCCAGATTGAGTGAAAAACGAATCGAAGTGATGAAGTGTGAACCCATAAGTGAGGGTAGAATAAAGGGGAGGGATAGTCTTCGCTCGGCCAGCATTTTTTCAAAGTGTAATTATGAATGAATTAGGAAAAATTCATGATACACCAACACTCAATATAGACCGGAGCCGGAGTGCCGGACACTTTAAAGCCTCCATAAAAAACATAAATAAATTTATTTGTATTCCAAGGATTTGTATTTCATTTTGTACACCGCAAGAATGCATTAATATTTTGTGTTGGTGTAATGATAATTTTTGTTAACGCACTTACACTTTGTGTCAGTGGAATTTTTTGTTAACGCACCAATATTTTGTGTCAGTGTAAATAATTAAAATGCAGGTGCATAACTTTGGTGTACAAATGGTGGGGAAATTTTGGAGTACATGTAGCATGCTCAAAAAAATATCTCAAATATGAGTAAAAATAGCATTTATCCTCAAATTAAAATTTTATACTTGTATCTACACTGTAACATTATGACATTATATAGTAAAATCTCATTATATTTTTTTGTACTTATATTGACATTATACTTCTGTTTCGATACTAGACTCGTACCTGTGCGATGCACGAGCTATTAACTGACACATAAGTACTCCATGTTTTGAATAAAAAAATCTTACAAAATCTAAAGAATTACATAAATAAGTAGATATGAAAAGTGGGGGAGGTTTGAGAGTGTTATAAGTTTTGGAATACTTCTTTATAAATTACATTCGTAATTTGGTTACATGTAGGAAGGTCTTTATTGCAAATCAAGATCTTCAACCCTTGGCGACTTGTGACACGTGAAACTACCACATAAAGTTGACTATGACTGAATACGGATTTCTTCAATAACAATCCAACATGTGACAAAGATTGGCCTTGACTTTTGTTAATTGTCATCGCATTCAAACTTCCATTTTCTATGCAAAATATATAGACAAATTGAACATGGATCAATCACGGGTACGATAAAATTGCTGAATAAATTGCTGGATCAATTAGAGTCTCGATTACTGGAGCACTTCTAACATGGACCCACAAAACTTCCAATTCCTGCTTTAATTGGGGAATAAATACACTAATTTAAAGGTATTTAAAAAATTTTTTTACAAAAATTGAATAATCAAATTTTTTTAACTTGTTTAAAACGGAAGATGGGCCTAAAATATAAAATAAATTCCAACCATTTAATTAGTTATAAGCCCAGCCCGTACAAAAATAGCCCAATGTCTAAGTTACTAAAAACCCTTCCCATTTATTTTTGTACCCGGTTAGGTATACGTGGTTCCGTTTCAGCCTATCCCTTTCTGTACCTTATCAACATCACCGATTTCATTTGAAATCGGTTGGAACGCCGATTAGAGAGAGAGAGAGAGAAACAACGAGAGAAAGCGTGAGATGGATCAATGTATGGTAGAGAGATCTCGAAGTGGCTGAAATGATCAATCTGGTATACTTCTTCATATATTTTGTTTTTTATGTAAATACTCCTCTTTTATCACAGATCCGATGATTTTTTTTATTTTCAATAATGAAAGAAAATGTTTTCAATTTAATAGATAGATGCATGTCAAAAATTTCAAGCAGATACATAATAGGTATATAATATATTCAATTAATTTTATATAAATAGGGTTTCCGAAATTTTTAGTAACTTTTTTCCACTGTAAAATTTTCAAGAAACTATATCTTCATAAAATATGTGCAACGCGTAGTAGAATTTTTTTTAGTTCCAATAATACGGAGCTGGTTTTGTTGATGTTGTTTGATGATGATTTTCCTAGTTCAAATATAAAGATTATACCAATTTTATTTCCTCAAAATATTTTAGGGATAAATTTTACTATGTAATTTAAAAATATCATGTGCTGTATAAGTTATGATTGTATTTTTCTCTTTAATACAGTATATATTTACAAAATTATTTGCTTTCAAAATACTTGAATATACCTTAATATGCTTAGTGTGATGTGATAAAAGGGAGTATACATTAAAAAATTAACATAGCTATTGAACCTCTATTTACATGTTCAATTGCACATATAAGAACTAATTCTGTAGGTTTGTGTGTTGCGAAGAGTTTAACAAAATCACAACACTCTACACGTAATATTTAATATATATATATATATATATATATATATATATATATATATATATGTAGGTATGTATGTATGTATTGATTAACTTATTTGCATGAATGTTTAGCCTGTAATGAGTGTAGAGTGTGATATATTTGAATCTGGCTCAAAAATCAGCAAGAAACAAAGCCAGGGGTATTTTTTGATTTAGAAAAATATTGTGTAGTGAAATTAATATTTTTTGATTCAGGGAAACAAAGTCATGTTTTATAAAATCCTTGAAATGATTTAATGTGGTGTATAGTATAGTATAAAGTAGTGAGCCCACCCAAAAGAAGTTTTTTCATCACATCTCATACCTTTGTTTGGATGTGATTCTGGAACTTTTTGAAAGCCTTCCCATTGCTTCAAATCAGTTTTCATAGAGTTCCTGTGCATGAACACATGTATTCACTTTTTAAATACATAAGCCTCCAAAATAAAGCCATACTGAATAAAACAATGCTTTGAAAAAGCTTCTTGAAACAAAACCCTTTGTATAGATTCAGGTCATTAAGAGTTAGATTATTTATGTGATTCAAATGCTTTATTCACTACTCTATTTATCTTAGTTTAAAACTGTTGTAGTTTACATTATTAAGAAGTTCATATTTTGAATCAAAAATTTATCTATTTGGTTTTCATATTTCTTCTTTTCGGTCTTTTAATATGAGCATGAATCCTTGTACCCTATAAGAAATGATAAGAATTAATGAAATGAAAATAATTAGAACCGATGATTAGAAGTACGTGAATATTTCAAAATAGAATTGGAAAGAAAAAAAATACATGTTCGTCATGGAAGATGACTTCCATGGAATCGTCTCCCTTTGCCCAAGCCAGAACGTGGTAAACACGTATAGTGCGCAACTTTAGGATCCATGCGGTGCGAGTATGATCAATTTTGTCAAGGGAATTCCACATCACACTTTGTGTTGTTTTGGACATCCTTACACTTTAGACCGTGCAAATGAAGTGCTTAGACTGTGCAAGGTGAAGGGGTATAAATACTATCTCATATGCATTAAATACCCTCCTTCTTTAAAGATTTCTAAAATCTATTAATTTAATTTAGAAGAGACATAAAGGTATTGATTTTGTTTGAATTGATATATTGAAAAAAAGAGTTTAAGTTACCAAGAAAAATAATCATTTTAGGAGTGTAAAGCATGCAACCGGCCTCTTCCCTAGAAAGTTGCTCACATGTTTCAAGAAATTTTGCACAGTACCTTTCGGCCCAGGGGCAGCAGCTCAAGAAATTTTGCAGGATTAGTTTTCGGTCCAGGGACAGCAGCCCAATACCAGAGAACCGGCCCATCAATTTTTGGCGGGAACACTGTAGAAATCCTCCTCACACCATTGTATATATAGAGATTAAAAAATACGGTGAGACTCTAGTGACACCAGAGTACTGTGACACTCCGGTGTCACTGTCATTTGAGGCACTTCTGGTGTTCCATTTGTAAAATTGATACTTCCTACCCCCTAACAATCCCCCCAAACCCCAACACCAGCCACATCCCTGCACCCCAGCCCCCCCCCCCCCCCAAGCCCATCCAAATGTGTGGTTATTATACAATGCATAATAGCCACACATTTGGAGGTTGCTTAGGGGGGCTGGGGTGGGGGGCAGGAGTGAGGCTGGGATGGGGGGTTTCGGGGGTGGTTAGTGGGGTTGGAACTATCAACTTTGTAACGGGAGTACGGGAACTGCCTCAGAATGGGCGAGTGTCATCCATTGACACTGGAATCCAGTGTCAACGGAACTCCACGGTCTCCACCCTTAAAAATATGAAGGTCCTATTTTGATTCTTTTTCATGTTTTTTATATAAATAAAATGCATTTTATTAAGTAAATAAAGAAAGAATACAAAATATTAGAGGCGAGCAGGAACAGACTCCATACTCACACAACTAAATAGAGAAGAATGAAATATGAAACAAATAACATTTGATAACTAAG